ATTTCTGGCTTGTTAGCCGTCATCAGCCAGTCATACCCAATCTCAAGGGTTGAAACCCTCGAGATTCGAACCCGGGACCTTCGGTCATTGCGTTTAATACTCTACCTCGGCACCATGACCTCGTTGCTTTGTCAGTTGTGATCGTGAATATGATGGAATTGGGGTGTTCATCCGATCTATCTGGTTAGGGCATACACTTGTTCCGGGAGTGCGTTGAGGCTCGCACTTGGGTGATGACATCTCATGCAGTTGCCGAAGTACTGCCTCAAAACTTATTTCTTATTTGAAGGGAGAGTGTACGAGCAAACCAAAGGTACACCCACGAGATCACCGCTATCCGGTTTCATCGCTGAAGCAGTTCTCCAGAAGTTAGAAGCACTAGTGTTCGCCACCCACAAGCCAAAATTAGGACGTCTCATATCGAAGGAATATCCTAACGAAGGAATTTCATATCGAAGGAATTTCGTAACCAAAATTTTACTAATGCGCATTGTGCTATGGAAGGACCCCAAAATAAGTAAGAGAAGCGTAGAACATATCCCCTTCAGAACCGGAAAATGTATTGCAAATTTTCTCAACTGCAAGTAAGGCCTACTTTAAGGATTCGCATTTATTTTCAGGAACAGGGAAAAATTTAAGATTTAAAAAGTGAAGTTTTTTCCCTAAACATGCAGTAACAAAACCGTTTTGGTTGCATTTTATTTTACCGCATCGCGTAGATGTAACATAAACAAAACTGTCCATATATTTTATCGTGAAGGCAATGTAGAACAGTTCCTATACAAAGGAAGTTATGTAGAAATATACTTTTTGTACACTCTGCTGTCCACTTATAAGTTATTTGGAAACTGAGCATTGCACCAGAGGCTCGTTCATTTTGTAGATTGCGATCGGGAAAAGGGTGAATGTTAGAAGGCTGCACATCTAGTTAAGGAACAAGAATGGCACTTTTTGCACTTGAGTTCGGTATAGAGCCGGCGCAGGGAGCCGCATAGCAACGGGGATTGGATACGACTAGCTAAAGACGACGAATAAGCGAGAAATGGCCATTCCAGTCGCCCTTGTCTTTGTCGGTTCCACATCATCCCATCCTACTGGTTAATAGGTGACTACTTGCGCGGGCTCTATAGTGAGCGCCAGCACACAAAAGGATATTTTTGTTCCTTAACTAGATCGGCGAACCCCCTACCATTCATTAATATATGCCTATATTTAAGAAGAGGTGAAATATTTTAAGAAACTGGAAACAGTAATGCGTATATTATTAAGACTTATCATGTTGTTATGCTGCAATTCGATGTTAGCTCATACCTAATTTCCATCCCCTAGAGTTTTTCAATCGAAACTGTTGGTAATCTACTTGAAAGCCAACATGACGAGAGCACCAATAAGCGTAAATTTTCGCACCTCATGCAGCTGCTCAATTTTTGCCTCAAACCTTATTTCAGCGTTCAGGTAACGGTCTACGAACGGTCTAAAGGGACTCCAATGAGTTTTCTGCCGTCTGGTTACATTGAGGAAGCGGTCTTTCTAAAGTAAGAGACACTGGTTGATCGGGACCCAAAGACCAATATCTTGAGTGCGGAATGTGAACGATAATCTCATCGTCCTGAGGCTGTAAATAGTCTCCGAATATCACATGAACTTGCCCTTTTTGATGCGAACATTCAGTTTAAAATGGACACCAACCTCAACAATCAAAACTGTAAAAACAAAAGGAGCCAAACTAAAGAAAAGTCAAATAAAGCTATAATACAAAAGACAGAAGAGTCAAAAGTGTGGTGGCCACTAACGTGTATTGACTACATGTCCAAAGCCCTTGCTCGTCTCTTACAACCATTGGAGGTTGGTGACGTCCACATGAGATAATGATAAGACCCAAGGCCCCTCTGCCAGAAGACGCAGGTCGTAAATTCTGTCCTGTGGAGGGAACTACATTAGAGAGGCAGCTAAACAACTGCAAACCCACAGCCAAGCGAGGGCAGTGAATAGGATTGACCAACTCTTGGTGATGGTGGGACACTGTGCAGCCTCAGGCCACACCTTCGCTTTCCAGTACGTTGGAACCCTCGGCCGAGATATTGAAACAGAATCCAGGGAA